TTCATGTCGTACAAAATAGGGCCTAAAATTTGTATCACTAATCAGCCGCAAACCGTCCCTGCTTCTACTATCGGACACCCCCTTCTTTAATGCCCAGTTGGTAAACAGCTGTCATAGCAACAACGTCATATCTATAATAATGGTGCTGTAATCACCTTCGGAATTCTTTAGACAACTGATGGTTATTGTTATCACCAAAAACTGCCACGTGTCTTCACAAAATTCCGTAGATGGTAAACGTAATAATTAGATGTGGGTTTGTGACAGAAATAGCTACAAACATCTCCGGTTTATCCAACCAGACTCGTCTCGTATAGAAACAGTTGGTGAGTGAAGTGTACGTTCAGACGGATTTTCTCACCATGATTTTTATGAGCGAAACGTCCATCTTGATGATTTTAAGAGGACACGATAATGAAAAAGAGTTAAAACTATTATCTAATAATTGAAATAAATAATATACCAGATAATTTGGCAAGTTCGGCGAACGAACCGAAAAATAAAAAAAAATCAGGACTCCCGCGTTCATTAACAAGAAAGACTGAAATCGAATTTGTAATTAATTAAATGGTTCAAAAGTAGGATTTCACGAAATACTCAGAGAAACGAAACACGTAACCATCACATTATTATCTTTAACCACGTAAGCCTAAAAGTTTGTTTCACCAATCCCCCGTTGCTTAAATGTGAAATCATCCCCATTTTGACCCCCACCCCCCAAAGGATCAGATTTTACAGACTTACAAGGATAAACTCCGGGGTTCGATTCCGCGCGGTGGACAGAGTGCAGATACGATTGAAGGTGTCGTTGAAATTTTTCAATTCCATGAATAATAGGTTTAACATATATTAAAAATTTTCATGTTTACCTTAGTCTTTCGTTAAAATTGAAATTGTCGAAATTCTTACAAAGATTTACGTTGTAATTCTAGTTTCACGAGTTAATTGTAACTTTTACAGTTCCAGGATGGTCCCGTATGTCCACGTGACTGACACGTAATTGAAATAGACGACAGCCGACGTCGTCGAAGGGAGTTTATTAGTTTAATTGATATTTTAGTGTCACGTTTACCCGACCGAATGTAATACGCTCGCGTGGCTGCAAGAGCACGTGCATATTATTCACGAGGAAGACATCACAAGTTTTTCAGATATATGTATATAACGATTAAACTCTCATTTTTCTTTGTATATTCGGAGTTTTACGTGAGACTTGTTTACGTTCGAAGCCTCAAATATCAGAGTCAGAAGGTTTAGAATCACTTTATGTCAATATAAGTAACATATTTCACTTTCATAAGCCTCCCAGTGTCATCTCTCTGGGCTTTTTTGACGATAAAATGCGGGTTTTTATACCCGTGATGGGCACAGCACAAGTAGCCCATTTAGTTTTGCTCTTAACAACAAACAAACGAATCAGTTTGACAAACAACCTATCTCTGAGCGTTGTCTAGTGGTTAGCGTGCCGGACCATGAATCCGAGAGTTCATGGTTCATACCCGCATTGCTGCAGTTTCGCGCTCCAACCTTAAATCTTACTGTTCCATTAGAGTAACTTAGGAGTTGGTGGAGGGTGCTGTTGACTAGTTTTATTCAATCCAGTTTATCAATTCCAAATTAGGGGTGGATATCCCCTGTGTAGTATCGCGCGAGTATTAATAATTTTTGTGCCCAGGGGTCAATCTGATTATAACAAATCCCAATTTGTATAGGCCCACTTTCAAGACACACAAAATTATTACTTTCGAAACAGAGGGGCTCACCTGATGAACAGTTGCAGCTCGTGAACAGAGCTGGTGTGGCAATCTCTGAGGTTCCTACGATTTAAGAAGTAGAGACCCCACCTCCTCACACCCACTCTCTCCGTAGTATTGCGCGAATCCTTTAGAAAAGTTTTTATTATTATTATAATTATTATTATCTCTTACAGTGTACTTTTTGTTTTATTTATTAACATAACATTGTAGTATGTTTGTGTTTTCTACCTCCATTATTTAGCAAAGTTTCACGCATATGGAAATAAGTAAGTTTAAAGTTCAACATTGGCCAAGGAAGCGGCAAATTACTTTCGCTCTTGTTACCTATTGTTGTGGATCACTCCCCAATGGTATCTCTGGCGGTTCAAATGTTATGTTAGTGATATAAACTCCTTTATTTTTCGATTGGAATAACTAACAGTGCGTAGGTAGTCTTAGAAAGGATAGTGTTTTTTCCCGTGTTTATAATGCTGTGTTTGATCAGTCTGAGACAGCTTTACTTTGGAGATTTTCACCTAACATCTTCACCAATTTACTCCAGTTAAGGCGATTCCCTCATAGATACATTAACTTTTGATTGTTTTTATGAAATAGATTGTGTCCAGTCTCCTTATTTTTCACAATTCATTCAGAGCCGTAGAATTCAGATTTAATCTTGAAAAAAAGATTTTCTGTCAAACTTCCTGTTATCTTGCGGATTGTGCCACATTACTCTTTGGGGAAATCAATGAACCTAAGAACACCTTCTGGGGGAGGGGCTATATATTTTTGTTCCATGCCTTTACAGAAGTATGTACGTCACTGCGTATTATTTAATGAGTAGACATACCGTTCAGTTTTCATCTGATAGTAATAATAATAATTGAAATTTCCCTGAAGAATTTTGGTGAAATCAAGAAATAAAAGGTAAACGGCAGAGTCAGCTCAAATTGTTGTTGTTGTTTTGCATAAATAAGAGAAATTATCTTTAAGTGAAAATATTAAATCAGGAAAATAAACTTGATCCAACTTCAAGCATTTCTAAATTTTATTCGTTTTATTTATTTTTTATGAAAAATACAAAAGATCAATTCGGAAGATAAATAAATAAATAGCACTATAAGATGGTGTAATAAAAAGTGGAACAAATTTTATTTGACATTATTGAATGATACCAACAAATTTATTTAATATCTGTATGGTAGTAGCTTGTTTTTGTTTGCTTTGTTTCTGTGGCCAGTAAACATGCTCGATACATGATCACTAATAGCCAATAAGCATTCTTGTAACATGATCACTTATAGCCAATAAGCATCCTTGGAACATGATCTGTAATAGCCAATAAGCATCCTTGTAACATGATCTGTAATAGCAAATAGCATCCTTGGTACATATTATATTCTGGAGAATGCTTTATTTTTTATAAATGTGTTAGACATTTATTTTTGACTAAATAAACGACTCACTTTCTCAAATTTGGTCTAAAATAAAGTCGTTATGAAATTAACAAAAGAGTCTCTAACCCATGTATTTTCAGCAGTGACATCATTCAACTTACTGAAGACGAGAGTAATCTTTAGTAATGTTATGGTTTCTCTGCATGTTTCTTAAGCTAAGTGCAAATATTCGTTAAAAAAAAAATCGAACAATTGTCCACTCATTAATATACACTTCATGGGGGGCCTGTGGATTTTTTTTTAATCAAGAAGTCATATCATTGGCTAATTATTATCCAATCGTCGAGGATCATTAAGTGGACCTCACATTCTTTCATCACAAATCTCCCGAATGAACTTGATTTGCTAATACATAGAACATTTGTAAATTATCCTAATGATGTGATTCTTAGATACGTAAAAGTTAACAAGACAAAATTTCCAGACAAATATAATAAAAGGGTGTGGGTGGGGGAAGATAAAATCATTTTAAGCAACATTCTAAAAGTAATTTAAGGGAATTTCCATACCAACTACGGATATCGTACTGTTAAAAATAATCACCTTATACAAATAAATGGAATCTTAAAATCAGTGCTATCTACTTTTAGATGTTGCCAGTTGATATTTTTAACTCTAAGCTATAAAATAAATGTCTTACAGATATTATTATTTATTAAGTCCGTTTTACGCTTCAGCTATTTCGAAATAATCCACCACCTAATAAACGGGGAGGGGTGGGGAGGTTCTGTGTTACTTTACACACAGTGTAACCCACTTCTTGGAACGTGATTAAACTAACTTACCCAGAGGTCTGATTTTCTTTAGTCATAATGACAAAAGATTATTCTTGCCATAAACCTTAACTAGTTTGTATATAGATAGACTATACGTTTCTTTCTTTTTTCTGCTACGTTTTTCACTTGCAGCTGACTTTTTAAAGGAGTTTTACTGTTAAGTTTTCACTACGGTTGATTCTTTTAAATACTGACTAGGCCTTTTAAGGATTTTAACTGTTGATTTTTGTGTGTCGGTTCAGTCATGTAAGGATTTTGTCAATAACGGATAGGCCTTTTAAGGATTCTTACTGTTAAGTTTTTTCTACAGTTTGAGTCTTTTAAAGATTTTTGTTTACTACAGGCTAAGCCTTTTAAGGATTTTTACTGTTTTACGGTTGAATCTTTTATGGATTTCCTCTACTGGCTAGGCCTTAATAAGAGTTTTTATTGTTAACTTTTTCGCTATTGGTTTAATAATTTAAGGATTTTCATTTGAAAATTTCAAAACTATTTATTCGCTCAATGGTATTAAAAGACTAACTTTTTCATCTTCAGCTCAATTTTCGATGGAGAAGAAGAGTAAACTAACTAAATAATATTATTTATTTTATGTTATCGAAACGCCCTCTACAAAATTCTACATGTTATTGTTTCTTAAATTTAATATTAAATACATATTATTACACACAATCAGGAAAAATATCATAAATTAAATTCAGTCGTTAGATATATATACAACATATATAAAGGTACATAAATTATACAAATACATAAACAAATTCCAAAATAATTATATCTGAATATATATATATGTGTGTGTGTGTGTGTGTGTGTGTGTTATCTGGCGTTATGCCCATGCTTAAATTAGAGGATATCTTATCATGTCGGTTTCCTATGACTTGGACAAAGCCTTGTTTGTCAAAATACCTAAGAATATTATCTACGGAAACGCATCGAATAATTGCATGTAAAAAATAGGCCTAACTAGTTATATTAAACATCTGTTATATCAGAAATGAAAAAAAATAGGCCTAACTAGTTATATTAAACATCCGTTATATCAGAAATGATTGGACAATTTGATTGGAAGTTTAAATTAGATTAAAGTGCTTTTGTCATCATTGTTTCACAGCTGAAGCTGCGTCACCGGACGAGGGTCACCGGAAACTACTGGGTGCATATTTTTAATGGTAACACGGCTGTCAGCTGAAGCTGTTGTTGTTGTGTCCGACGGTTTGGTCGTTGATGTTGTCGGTTAACTCTCATGCACGAGGAATCTACGTGCTTGTACAGGTAACTTTTTAGGGCGAAGGCTTTCCCGCAGCGCTGACACTCGTATGGTTTGGTGTTGGAGTGAGTTTGGATGTGGGCTCTCAGGTTGGACTTGTCGGCAAAGGCCTTGCCGCATACAGGGCATTTGAAAGGTTTTTCACCTGTGTGCGTGCGGACGTGACCCTGGAGAAGCCAGGGTCTGGAGAAACACTTGCCGCAGTACGAACACTGACATCTCTGGCTGTGGGTGCGCACATGCATGCTGTAAGCTGGCATGGACACGTATAACTTCTGGCAATGCGGACATTTGCGTGCTTTCTTGTCGGACGAACTTCGGTGCGTTTGTCGGTGTCGCACGAGGTTACTGCTCGTGCTGTATCGTTTGCCACACTCGGAGCATTCGTAGTCCTCCCTGTTAACCGGACTTGTATGTAGAACTGTAAGCACGGGTGACGTTTCCACCTGGCTCGTTGGATAATTGTAGTTCTGCTGTACAGGCGAGGCCCTGTCTACTATTAGGCTTATCGGTTCCTGCTGTTCGGCTGCAAAACAGGAGACGAGGGAAAAGTAATACTCCGGGATGCGAGACAGGCTGGCTGGAGATCGCGGGCTTGCCGGCTTCACCGGGACATCTTCATCTTTAAGTGTTTGCTCCGTGTAGTACAAGCCGCCCTCTGCCGTGCTAACTTTCCTCTCAGGACTGCATTCTGTAGATTAAGAAAACGATTCATTATCAGTGTTATGAAGCAATGGATTAAACGCCCATACAATAATGAATAGCGCAGTATCCATATGGTTGTAAATAAGTACGATACCGAGGGAGGGGTGGCAAGGGACCAAAATGGAAGGGGAGAGAGAGAGAAATAAATTCATTTAAGTAAAAAACGTTAGATTTCCTAAACTTAGATGCTACATGTTCAGGGAATGTGCACAAGGAATCAGGCTGGTTTACTGACGGTTTAATTGAGATACAAGTTCACTATTACACGACAGTTTTATTTATCGATGACCGCAGTTAAAAAAGTTTTTTAATGGGGGTTAATTCCCCCTCTCGCTCTCGTAGTCCCCTCATGGAGGGGGGGGGTGTAACTGAGTGTTATATCCAGAGAGAGTATACAACTGAGTGTTATATCCAGAGAGGTATAAACTGAGTGTTATATCCAGAGAGAGTATAAACTGAGTGTTATATCCTGAGAGAGTATATAAACTGAGTGTTATATCCTGAGAGAGTATAAACTGAGTGTTATATCCAGAGTGTTATACAACTGTTTAACTCAGATTAATTTCGACTCCAGTTTACTTTAATTACGTGAACAATTAGCATTATATACTGACGAATGTAATTAGTAATTTTAATTATTATTAGCTTCATTTCTACCTTGATATTCAAATATTTATAACAAAAGTGGCGCGAGTTTTCTTTTAATGCCTTATAACTTTAAAAAAGTTGATTGTTTCGTTTTACTGGGCCTTATCCGTTGTTTATAGGTATTCTACTGTCCCGTTGGTAAAGTAAAAACGTGGAGCGGG